TGCATATGCCTTTGATTTTCACCTCCAGGAGTAGTCCTACACAAATCCCTCATTACCCTCCCATCCAGCCCAAAGTGCAAGGCTCATCTCCGAAAGCACTTACGGCGTGGTGGCTGCTGTGGAAAAAAGATTGAACGGAGAAAAAAACCCGAATCTCTGCCAAGAGGGAACACAAATAAGTTTCTACATGTAGACATATATACACACACACACACATACACACAAGGTCTTCATCCTTATTTCTGTGTGTACGTGCATGTATATATATGTGTACACATAGATGGGATTCAGGGCATATCTCACTGACTTTCTCAGTCATTGCTGTTAGAAAATGGTTTAGGAAACCCTCTGTTCAGAGCTGGGAGGAGACAACGGCAGAGGGCTGGGTGTTCTGGTGCCAACTCTGCTCCTCAGCACACAGAAACATGAGTGCAACCCACGGTGGTCCAAACCTACGGAGGCGAAGACGTGCCATCAGTCAGGAGGACACGGGGAAGACAAAGAGTTCAAAGGCAGCAAGTTCTTACACTGCAGAGAGAAAACGTCTAAAGCGATGTCTTTAAACAAGACCTTCCCAGAAAAGGGCAATAAGCACTGGAAGATCTTCATATCGGCTCCATTTGGGGGAAAAGCTGATGGCACCAAGGGAGGCATTTGTCCTCCCAAGTAACGTTTCAGTGGCAGGATCTGAACACTTTTGGGGAAGAGGGTGAAGGTGAGTGCTACAGTGATTAAACACTGTGCTCCCACTCCGCAGGAGACTTCTAGAGGTTGCAAAACTCTCAAACACTGAACTGACAATCCAGAAAATGAATAAAATTAGGAAATACCCAAGCAGAGAAGCAGCAAAAAAACCCTTACCGTTTTCTTTTTGAAAAATTATGAATAGTCTTTGGATTGGTGAGTGTAACGTGTATTACACATTGAGCGTTCAAAGTGTAATATCCAAAAAATACTTTCCATCTCCCCCTTAATATGAAATATTTCCTTCTGAAAAGTCCCCCTGAGACTCGGAACTCTTCACACACAAATCATGACATGATTAGAGATCCCCAGAGTTACAATGCAACACCAGCCAAAGGAGAAGGAAAAACTCTGACACAGGACAGCAGCTAAATGCATTTTAATATATTTAGCCATCTGCAATTACCAGAGTCTCTCAAAAATGCCTAGACTTTTTGGCCAATTTCTTGGTGACATCTGGATAAAACACAGTTTTGGGGAGGGACTGTGTATGTTTTGGGCATAGGAGAGCTGTATAAGAGTCTTGCTGAGTTTTGGGGGCAGCTGCCTGTCCTCAGGTACATGCACGTGGACTGTCCCACTGGACCATCCCACCATACCTGGTAAATGAGGTGGTTAAACAATGCTACTAACAGGAACATCTTTGCATTCTTTCCCATGAGCTGGTCCTAGCTTCTGGGGACTTGTAACATAAATTAAGACTTCAAAAGCTGCAGGCACGCTGAAGGAAGGTGCCTGGGCTAACCTACCTGACCCTGAATCAACATTTTTATTAGCCTTGGTGATGGCATGTTTTTCCTTCCAGGAAAAACCTCCCCGTCCCTGTGGAGCAGCACGCTTGCCCTGTGACATGCTGGAGCCTCTTGCTAGTTTGGCTCCTGACTTGGAAGGGAAGGACGGCATCATTTCCCACCTCTGTGCATCGCTGGATACAATTAAATCATACCTGCCCAAGGGAAGACACACAAATCATCACTCATTTTTGTTTTTCAATCGCCTGGTATGCTTTTTAAAAGTCCTTTATGCACAGCCTTTCTTTCAGATCAGGTCTGCATCCCTCCGGTCTTAAGGAAAATCCTTAAATCTTCCTGCCTGTCATGCAGTCTGTACCAGTCACAGGGCTTTTACGACATTTGGACAGCTAGCACGCAACTGTTACTTTGCAAGCTCCTGAACTAACACCCATTTTTCTTACATGGGAGTCAAGGATAAATTTTGCCCAAATGAAAATGAATGCTTAAGCCTCTTTAGAGTTATAAGTAACGCTGAAGTCACTGGTGAAGGATGGAAACCCAATACTTTGAGACCACCTGAATTTACATAAACAGCCTTGCTGCTTTCTGATACCTCTTGTCATGTTAAGCAGGATTACTCCTCAAGCGAGTCACTGAAACCAGGGATTCTAAGTACCTCGAGGGGCAAAATACCATGAGCATGCATCAGCACACTAAACTCAACAGAATTAAAGTCCTTACTCAACATAAGCAAGCGCGTCGGACTCTAGCCTTTAATTTAGCATATACTACTCTCACAGGGCAGTTCCACAGCTTGAAAACGGCAACGAGAGGTTTTATTCCCTTGTACACCTCTTCCTGAACTTTCTCTTCCCCATGTATTTTGTAACACTGTTGATTGTAACACTGGTTTTCAGCCTTCAAAACTACCCAGTTCTACAATTTTGGTCCGTTAAGTATTAGGGTATAAATAATAATTTAGTAGTTGACATGTAGTTTGATATGGTCTTCCAGAAGCTGGTGGACCTTGAAGCGTGGCTTGCTCCTCTGCCGAAGAGCAAGCAGCCAGAGCGTCCTATGCCACGTCCTCACATATGACTGGAGGGATGATGAAATACCTTTCTAGAAAGAGTAGAAGGTCTTTGGACCAGCCAAATATCTAAATGACTTCTTCCAACTACAAAACAGACTGAAATTTTTCCCTTATTAATTACTTTTTTTTCTGAAGTCTCTTCGTAATTCCTCCCACTGTTTTAAGTCAAGCATTCGTGTCAAGCTCTTTTGATCTTCCTCCTCAATTATAGTGAGCAATTACTCCCTCCACCAGGCTTCTCAGCCACCTAATCATTATTATCTCTTCTTTCTCCCCGAATCTAAGCCTTTCAGCTTTTTTGGAAGCTCACTATTAATACAGTGCTACACGTTTCCCAGCAATTGAGCAACAGTATGTCACGCCAAGGACTCCACAAACATTAACCTTCCTTCTCATTTGCCCTGTATTTAATTTTAGAGATGAGGCACACCTATCATGACTTGGATCTCTCACGTCTCAGGGGTCTTAAAGCCCCTGTCATCAAAAATGTGTTTGCGCTGATATCTGTATTTATAATTTTCCCTCCCAGCTGAAAAGTGTTCAATCTTTCCTCCCGAAGCGATTAGTGCTGCGCGGCAAAGCCTTTATTCAGAGCACCCCCCGTAGAGCCAAGGCATTTTTAGCGGGCTGCTTGACACACGACAAAACCATCCCTCCCCTTCCCCAGGGCAGCTCAATAGCAGCTGACAAGGTGATGAAGCAGGAATCTAAAAAGCATACATTTTTAATGTGCATTAAAGCTTTCAGAGGCCTAGGGAGCCTCAAAAGGAAACTTATGTCCTCAGTAACGAAGGAGAAAATGCCAATGACTGTGTTTGCACGGGGACAGACCTCCTGAAACCGATTCCACGATACACTCACCGTTCTTCGTAAGAGCATCGCATCAACCAGCACGAGAGCCCGCGTGGCATTTACGGCTTCGCTGCACTGAGACACCTCTTCAAACGTGTCTTTTTTTGTTATCAAAGGCAGGCAAAATGTGGCCTGCATCTCATCTCAAGGAGCACGGGGTTCTCGCTGTCGACCTCGTACGGAAGGGCGAGACCGGAGTGACGACCTCACCCCGATGCGATGGAAGTCCTTCTCTCTTCTTTCACCCGAATAGCGCCAAGATATCCAGAGCCAGACGGTCACGCGCTCTATGCTTTACAAACTGTTGGCTAACGGCACTTATCCCGCGCCCAGAAGTGCTGTCTGACAGGTCTGTGTCATTAGCACGCATGAACAAACTAAATCTACTTTGCGGTTAGTGCATCCGGGCATTCAAACAGGGAGGAAGCACCAGCTTGACTTCCTCCTTCTTGCCCTTCCAGGTGACCCCAAGGGCAGGATTGCCACGGGACAGTTTTCGGCTCAGAGACCCAGCCTGGATTGTCCAAACCCTGTAGGATCAGTGCACGACCCTGATCCCCCCCAAAAATCCTACCGCCGGGGCTGAGCGCGCGGAGGGGCCCTGCTTGGTGCAACCAGCACGGCCGGCCCGCCTCAACCACGCGCCGGTATCGTTCCTCGCACCCCACGAGCCGTTCCCGCGTGCGCGAGCACGGCCGTGCCGAGGCCGATGCTCTGGACGAGCCGCTGGCTTTCCCAGGAGCCCATCAGAAACCAGAAACAACAGCCATCGTGCCTCTCGCCAAGCCAGGCAGCTGCCCCTTTTCCTCACCAACAGGATAAAGAAGATAGCAGTAACACATCTGGGCAAAAGCAGGGGCCAGATTAAAACAGCCGTTTAACAGCAGCGACTCCGGACTTTCAGTTGAGGCCACAGCTGGCTGCACTCCTCTAAAGCAAAGGGCATGGACCGCCTTAGGGGGGGCAAAAAAACAAGCATTCCGTGATGCGTTAAAGCTGTGGTGAAAATTAAAACCATTACTTCCAAGCTTCTACATTTCCACAAGTTTCTTCTTTAAAGACAGGACATGTAATGGGATTTTTTTTTTTTTTTCATATAATTAATGACCTAATCTTTGTAACAACGTATGTTGCAGTAGGTCAAGTGATGAAAACAGTAATATTTATTCAAAACCAGTACGGTTTATCCATCATTTCTTATTTTCAACTACTAAACGAGTAAGTAACTTGAAAAAAAAAACCCACCATAGCATTCTGCCTCATGGCATGTATCAAGTTCATCACTTTCAGTATCCACAAAATTCAGGTTTATTACTGCTGGAAAAAATAGTTGCAAGCATGTTAGCTTCTTCAGATTGTTATTATGCAGATGAACAGAAACTACTTGCGCTGTATTTAACACATGTGAATTGAGATAACTAGAAAAAATATTACTTACAGAAAAAAATCTGCAGTATCTGAAAAGAGGATTTTTTGCACTGAAATATTTAGTGAATGCATATACAGAAAAAAAATGTATTCCGCTGTTTTCTGTTCAACCATTTCCTGCTTTTTTCTTTTTTTTCCCCTCTGTTTTATCACTGAACGTGAAGAATAGGAGAAAGGCAAAGACACGAGATAGACCCCAAGAAGAGATCACTGCAAGGATTATTACGGATAGCTCTTTGCCAGCAGTCACTGTTCTCCCTTTGCACTTGCCCATTTAGCTCTGACGGGCCAGAGGAGCCCGCGGGTGTGATTTTGGTGTCCAACCCTACGAGGCACAACCCCACCCAGCATCGCTCTGTGAAGCCCTTCACACCAAGGACATTCCCCTTCCCGTAGGCACCCAGTTCAGATGTTGGCAGCTTTGGCATTTTAAAAGCAAACGCTGATCTCCAATACCCAAGTTCTGGCATGATGATCAGCAAAAATAATGACTTGAGTTCTTCATCCAACAATAATTCTTCATTAAAAATAATAATTCATTGAACTGTTTTAAGTACAGATGCTGGATGCAGCCATGTAACAATTTATAGTCACAGTCATCAGCTCATTTCTTAATTACAAGAAGAATTTCTCCTAAATAAAACGTGCAAAGGCAATAAAATGCATGTTACTCAAACACGTCAATAATCTGTTCTGTTTCTGCGGTCTATATCTCATTAAAAGCATCCTGTTTGCTGTATTCATTTGTTAATTGTTGGGGTTCAGTCACCTTGCTCACGCCCGTGGACACCCAGCCCTGGGAAGGGCTTTCTGTAGCCGGGGTGTATTTCTGCATGCACCAGCAATGGGAAAAACTGGATTACAACGATTCTGCAATTCCTGAGCTGGTTCCCAGGGGTGCGAGGGCGAACAGGAGCCGTGGCAGGAGGCTGAGCTGGGGACCCAGCCGCTGCTCCTTCCTGGTCGCTCACCCAAGGAGGAATTGCTGCAGTGACCTTCATCATTCCAGCTTTGCACTGAAAAATAGGGTTTATTTAACACTGTTTCTTGCAGATTTCTCTTTTTTTTTTTCCTTTTCTTTTTTTTTTTTTTTTTTTTAAATCCACAAACCAGGCAGTCAGCTGACCCAGGTGTTCTGCACTCAAATAAAGATTTGATTTCACACTGCACAGATGTACTCCAGTTGAGTCACTGCCAGATTTTAATGATAATCTCTCTTAAGGGCTATTTAGCAAGGTACAGGTGAAGTCTCATGCTGCAGCAGAAAGCAAACCAGATGCTGTGTTCGCTTTATTTTTCAATTACACAGTTCCGTCCTTCACCTCTTACTTGATGTCACCCTTCTGAAACAGGCTGCAGCAGTCCCGGAGTTCATCAGAAAACCATTTATAAACCCCTGAGTGACCTCCATCACCTGCATCTTCAAACTAAAAAATCCTCCTGGTGCCACTCCACGTCCTAACCATCAGAGGAAAGGCAGACCCCGCAGAATTAGCTGCCCAACAAGGCGTGTGCACGTGTAGACACACATAGATGTATATTCTGCAACGCCCTATGGATAAACCCTAGGCGTTCAGGGAAACCACAGAAGGAAAAATTAACTCCAAGTAAAGCAAATCCATTTCTGCTGTAACACCTCCTCTTGCAATCAGTCAGCAGACCCACAACCACATCCTGAATTGGGTCCTTTCCTCGAGCTACTCACCTACTGCAGGGACAAGGATTCTGAGGAGGAGATGCAGTTCAGATAAGGTTGTGTTTACAGTTTCTCTTGGCACGCGAATATCTCCTGTTTCTTAGAACCTCAAGCCGCCAAATTAATTTAATACTTACAAACCCTTGCAGGGAAATAACACTGCAAACACAGGAATTTACAGAAGATGTAAAAAGCAGCTATAATCAGAGATATCTCAGCAGTAACACCACATAATTTTTATGTCATCTTTCAATCACAGTTCCCTTAATGCATCCTTCAGAAATAAGGACCGCATCAGTCACGGCAGATTTAATAGCCAGGTAGATTTATACTGAAACAAAGCCAGAGGCAACTTCACATGTAAAATAGCAGTGTTTGGATTATTTTAAGTACTATTACCCAGCTCAGTTTTGTTTTTAAAGTGTATTAACCACCCCAGGAGATTCTGCAGTATCACAGAACCTTGTAAGAAAAAAAAAAATATATATATATATAGAAGTGTTAGCAAAAGCACTTACTCAAATACACTTATTAAAATAAAGCTAGCATTTTCCACCTTGCCTGTGCTTAGTTAACAGCAGTGAGTTAATCGATAGCTCTTGCCTGCGGACAGGGGACAGGCAGGAGCCGGGGCCGTGGTGCTGGGCTGATAGGGTGGGTGGCACTGGGGCAAAGACAATATCCACCGATTTGGGGAGAGGTGGACGTTATTTAGCCTCTTCTTTAATGGTGCCAAGGAGTGGGAGGGGAGAGAATGGCAGAAGAAAGTCTGCTAGTAAGTAAGCCCCCGTTAAAACTGACGAGCGGATTTACTTCTGTCGAGTGTGCAGAGCAAAAAGAACAACAGTTTTTCTATTGTAAACGTTTCCCACCACACAAAAATTATGCTTGCTGCCCAGCGTGTCAAAACATTGCTTTATTAGGTTGTGGCTAATTGTTGCCGGTGGTTTGCAATGCAATACCTCAGTGCCCTTTGCAGTTAGCAAAGCCGAGCACGAGGCTGGCTCACACGTGGCCGCCTTATGGGCAGCTCCAGAGGGGAGTGGGGGGCTGAAGAGAGCAGAAAAAAATCACACGTACCTCACAAAGAAAGGGCAAGAAAATACAAAACAGCCCGCAGGTGCTTTCTAGTGGGCAAGGGAGGGCCCACGGGCTCCACTGTGCTCCCCAGCCCAAGGTTTCAGTGGCTTCTTGCAGAATTCACCTTGCGTGTTTCATGTCCCCTCCCCGCATATTCATAACCAACAGGTTTGCCTCGTACTGCAATCCTAGAAGGCTCGAGCTTGTTAGCATAACTTTTTACCAAGTTTTCAAATCAACATGCGCAAATAGAAGAAAGTTTTCCCCCCCAAAAAGTGGCGTTCGGCTGTCCCCTCGCTAACACTGATGGGGAAAACGGGGCAGCGGGTGCAAGGGGGTTGGTACCATCCCTCCTGTGCCTCAGGGACAAACTGCAAAACGATCCCTCCAGCCAGCTGCAGAAAGGACCCAGCAGCTCAGTAAACGGGCTCCGATATTCCGTCTGATGAGCTGCGTGGAGGCGGTGCGGAGGGGATCCTCGGGAAAGAAGGAGATTTACATACAAGCACATTCGGCTCATTTGTCACTCGAGAAAACTCAACGGCAAGCCCTTCACCTGAGCCTGACCCCGCTGGTGCAAGCCTGAAATGCATTGCAAACTACTTACATGTTTTGGGGGGACATGATGGTGCCTGTTAATTCAAGGCCGCATTGTATTTGGATATTCTCCTAACAGAGCTAAGAAGTAGAATTCAGGTTCTGTAAGACAAAAAAAAAAATCAGTGGCAGAGAAATACATGTAGCAGCAGCCAAGGCACAAATTTTGCTTACGAGCTCAATTCTCTCACTGTGACTTCCTGGACTGAGATTTTAATACTTCGACATTTGAGATGAGAAGCTTAAATGAACAAAAAAAGAAGACAATTCGTCCCAACATCTGGTCCCTTTTCCATTAGTCTTCCTAAAAGCACAGACATGACAAGCCTACATCAACCTCCAGTCCTTGAGTGGGGGAACCACACGCCCCACGCTGCTGCTGCCAACAGACGTGGCAGAGCCTCTCCATACCGATAAATTCATGACCCTTCCACTGATGTTTTCTCATTAAAAACAACTTATGCACCAGGGCTTCCCGCGCCCACAGACAGTCCCTCAGCTCTACTGCATGTCACTACCAGTGCGGAGGACGTGCAGTAGACCACTTCCACCCTCAAACCATCACAGCTGCAGTGGGGGGGGGGGGGGGGGGGGGGAGAGGCAAGAATAATCTCTATTTTCCACTGCTTTTGTGGTCATAGTAACACATACATTGAATTCTGCTCGCTGAGGAGGGCAGGGAACAAGCAAGTCCATTATCCCATTGATGGCTGAGCAACAAATTTATCTGCAGCCTGCTGAAGATGCAATTATAGGACACTTGCCTCACACAGGGGTTCAAGTACCTACTATACTACAAATTTCCTATATAACCCAGGACCAATTAGTTAGCTGTGGTGTCCCAACTTGCCCTTCACCCTCGGAAGCAGGAAAGTGTTTAATCATCTTTAATTTGTCTTACATGACAATGGTTCCCAGCTTGTGGTTGTACGCAGACCTGGCTGATCTGCTAGAGCAACCAAAAGAAAGGATTAAAATTTGGAACAGGCTTTTGAAATATTATCTCCAGCTTTGGGAAGCGTTGCTGGAGATGCAGGTTGAGTAGGGTTCAGTGCAACCTCGGCAGTAACAAAAAGCCCACAGTTCTCTTGCAGATCTAAAGATCATTTGGCATAAAAATGTATGAAAAATTTTGTTCACAATATTCACGAGTGGCTAAAGGAATTTTTAAAAATATTGGGAGGAAAAAAAAAAAAAAAAAAGTACAAGAAAACAGCAAGAATTGTGGGCAGCCCTATACTCAAGTGCAAGATCCAGGCCAAAACTGAGTATCTACTCTGAGCTGGAATACAACTTGGCACCCAACAGGAACCTAAACAAAACTTCTCACTGATCTCAGATACTATTTTTTAACACAAAAGTCTCTCCAAAGACTATTGCCGGATAAACTTAAGTGGCAACTCACCTGCTGAATCAAAATAAGTAAGGGGTTTTGAAAAAAGATACTTGTTGAGTCTTGAAGAGTCCTTCTTCATGACTGTCCTTGATGAAAAACCGTTGGAGGGGGCACAGATTCCTTTTTCTCGACCTCTGGGGACACACCAGGTTGTCACAAGTATCGTAAGTGATTCAGCAGACGTGCGGAGGAGCATTCCTCTGCACCTGGCTTTGCAGACCTCCGGCTCCATAAGTAAACCCATAAGTCTAATGTGTACACTAATACTGGTTTAATAAATGGCTTTCAGCCACTCTGCAAATGCCTTCTCAAATCTGAAGTTTCCAAAAGCCTCAGGTACCTTCCTATTGAAATAAAGTATGAGGAAAACACTTCACCATTTAACTACCAATATTTCCAGATGGAAAGTTAAAGTTAGCACACATTCACCGTATGTCACTGAAGCCACTAATATGAGCACAGTTGTATTGCATTTCACCACCCCCGTGGCAAGAAACCAACTTTTTTATTCTCTTCCATGGTTTGTAAAATTTATTTCAGAATTTTAGCTGTGTTGGGTATTTTCAGATTCAGTACATGACTTCTGTGACAGCGTGACAGCTGTCAGTTGTACATTTGGGTTTGTTTTTTTTTTTTTTCAGTTGTGGGTTTTTTGTGTGGAAGCCACAGATTTCTCTGTCCTCTCCACACACTGTGCTTTGGTGAACGCAACACTTCCAGGACCAGCGTGCAAAGACATCCCGAGCCTTTTTATGCACTGCCTCCTTCGTTTCATTTACAACAGGTTTATCTTGCTGAACAAAGTGAACTACAAGTACCTCGGAGCCATGAGAGACGGCAGAGGCAGCAACTTATCTTCAGCCTGACGAGCCTCCCAGACACCCTTTGGGTTTTGCAGGATAATAAATGAGATGTGGTCAGGAGCTCATTCCCACTCGGACAGAGATCAGCGTGCAACCCATTTGTATCGCTTCCACCTAAAGCGAACGATGGCTACGCGCTCCTCCAAAAAAACCCCGACCGAATAAACCCCACGTCACCTGCGATCTTAAAAGTTGACAGTTACTCTGTTTATTTTTTTTCCTCCTGATTTATATCCCTTTAAATCAATGGCCTGAAATGACAGCATTCCCACAGGCGCGCAGATCCCGCACGTTTCTGACTTTTAATACTACTTGCTTTCAAGGCTGACAAAGAGGAAGCCTTGTCAGAGAGGGTAATTAAGAAAGTTATGCTTGGTGTCACCAGATGGTGCAGAAAAGTGCTTCCTTGGTGCCTCTGCCCACAGCTCCTCCTGGCACGGGTCTCCAAGAAAGCCCAGGCTGGATTTGGGGTGTACCCCTCCGGCCACACCAGAGATGAAGCTGAGCTGGACCCTAACCCCCCCTCTTCATCCCACCCCCCCAACTGCCCCGGCGTGAGACCCCCTGGCCTGGGTACCACCCCGCCTGCCAGACCCACCCTGCCTCCCCCTCGCCTTTAGGTCAGTTGTAGGATTTAATAGTACAGTACAAACGTAATTTTGAAAAATCAAGAGGATCTGTCAGGCTATTTAATTCCGATTACAACAGAGCCAAGGGCTGCACATGCACTGGGTTTTTATTACATACAGAAAGACTTTGTATTCGGGTAAAGCGCCTTCTTCCTGAATTATTACTCTGCAACTTCTCTCCTCATGAAAGTCCTGACCTCTAGAAGTCAAACCCTGGGCAGGAGAGCTTTAGTCTTTATTACTATGCTCCTTGTAGGGGAATGAATTACCTCGTGATACCTGAAGCAAGTAGGCTGTTTTAAGGATTCTCCTCAAATCTGCTTCATTTTCTGCAGCGCTTGAACGGACCGTTGTAATTGTTGTATATATATTTTCTTCTGGAGTTTCATGCCAGTTGTCGGAGAGGCACTATGCAAAATAAGACTGAATTTATCAAGTGCTTTATAACATGGTGAACCCACCGCCCTGACTCATTACATCTCTCACGTTAGAGCAGTGTCTCCATCGCTGCCCTCGGTGAGGCTGTAACCTTTTGAGAGAGGAGACTCGGACAGCCAGACACCCTCCTGGCCCGAGGAGCTGGCACACGTGGCAGGGGAAAGCATTTCTGCTCTGGGCTTGGGGTGTGTTTTGGTCCTGGTTTGCTCTTCGGGAAAAACTCACAGAGTAAATCTACTGCCCGACGGCATGCCCGCATCAAGGCTCAGAGGAGGAGAAGCCCCTTGCAAGATGACAATGGAACAGGGTCATCCTGCCCCTCTTGGAGCTCACCATCACCCTTCCCATCACCAGAACTGCCCTCAAGACCTGGGATTATTTTTTTTTTTTTTTTTATCTTCTCTGTGATACTGGGAGGTTTTTGGCCAGATGCTGGCTGGGCAAGGGAGAAGCAAGAAGACATGAAAGCTGAGGACCCATTGCCCTTGTCCTGGGGACACAGAGGGCTCTGACACCCACCCATAACCTCTGGGTGGGTTTTCCTGGGGGATTTCCCACTGTCTCCCCAGGAACAAGCATCGGTGGTCGGATGCAAAGCTCAGCTATCAGCCTGCACTTTGCCAAAAGCCGGGAAAGCTCAGCTCACACAGCAACTGGGGCTTTCTTTAAATGTCATTTTTAATATTTAATCACCCTGGATGGCCTCAATATTTACAGCATAAGCCATTTCATTGGGAAGTTAAATATATAGCCCAGATATTTAAGGAAACTGATTCAGAGCCACATAAATGTAATTGCACTTAACATGACCTGGGAATGAAATCGCACGCGGTACGTTTTTTTTTTTCTGCAGGATGTTTAAACCCCATTTTGAATACATTATGCTAAGGGAATCTCTTCCACTGTGGTGCCTGGATAGATTTCACAAACGCCGAGTTGTGCAAGCAATCCAAAGCACAAAGGCTTAAAAGAGAAACTAATGAAAAGTATGTATATTATATAGAGAGGTAAACAGCGGAGCTTTTGTAAATTGACACCTGTTTGCTCAAGCAGCCTAATAAAAATGTATTTACCATAAAACAAAAGACGTGAAAAAGGTGATAAGGAAGAGTAATATGTAATACTATTTTTGTAACAGTGAAGATGCGGACATATCATGACGTTAAGCGATTATGAATTGAGTGTTTTTCTATGATTTATGTCAAACTCCTTCAAAGCCAGGCTACAAACTCCTCGCACAGACACTTGCTTTGACAGGAGCTGCATCTCCCCTGCCTCCCCGGCTCGCGGCATCCAGCCCCGTTCCACGCTTGCAACCTTGACCTTGGTCACACCACCAAGCAAGAGGTATAGCTTCAGGCACCAAACCAAGCTTTCCTGCTCTCCACAGAATAGTTTCTCTTCATAACAAGCAGGGAAACACTCACTTTTGACTTCAATTAATCAAGAACTGAAGCAAAACGCCCATCTGCGCCAACGTAAGGTCTGCAGATGGTTTTGTTAATGATTTTGGGCCCATGTATTCCAATAGTATTTTTCTGCACAGGACAGGAAAAATTCCAGCCCACAGTGGCCCATTTTTTTTCCCCTCTCTGAATTTCTACAAGGAATATCCAAACCAATATCTCAGCCTTCTTCCTCAAAGATGTGGGTTCCATTTTCTCCCTGAAGTACCTCAAAAATGGTGAGCGAGCAGCTGGGAAAGGCCGGGTTTCACCTTCCACTTTGCTGTCAGTGAAACCATAACTTACGGACGTATTTAGGAGGGGAGCAGAG